ATATATATATATATATATATATATATATATATATTTTTTTCCCCTATGGAGAGTAAGAGGTGGTTCAGATAAGTAGCCCAAATCTATCGTAGAAGGTCAGAAATATTCATCTGCAGACCTGGGAGCCTGGGAGAGGGTCAATGGATTAAGTGTTTTCCATGCAAGGTTAAGGACCAGAGTTCAGATACCCAGAAGCCACATAAATGCTGGGCGGGTGTTGTAACATGCCTGTAATCCCAGTACTTGGGAGGCAGAGACAGGGGCTCCCTGGAGCAAGCTAGCCAAACAGCCATGTAGACAAGCCTAGGGTCAACTGAAAGACATTGTCCCAGTATATATGGAAGAGATCAGGGAAGACTCCTGACATCAACCTGAGCCCCCCCCCCCCCCGTCCACACACACACACACACACACACCCACACACACACCCACACAGAGAGAGAGAGAGAGAGAGAGAGAGAGAGAGAGAGAGAGAGAGCCATGGATATATAGGCACACATGTGCACATACACACAAACACACACAGACACTATACACACATAGATACCCATGGATACACATAGACACTATACACATAATTTGCAAAAAAAGAAATCACTGTGTTCTTAAATTATGTGTAAATGTGTATCTGTGATTAGGTATGTGTGAGAGTGTAGTGCCTTTGGAGGCCAGAAGAGGGCATTGGATACCCTGTAGCCGGAGTTATTGTAATTGTGAGCTGCCCAATGTGGGTGTTGGGAATTGAACTTGGGTCTGGTGCAAGAGCAGTACATGCTCTTAAATGCTGAGCCATCTCTCCAGTCCATTGTGTTCTTAAAGCTGGCCTAATTAGAGCCAGTAGGTGAATGGTGTATTCGTGCAAACATTTGCAACACAGATGGGAAGGATAGCAAATACCTGCAGTTGTAAGGTCTTACAGTTGATGAGGAAATAACAAAGTAAAGTGTGCAAGTGACTTAAATAGATGGTGCTCTCACATCTGATGCCAAAGGATATAAGCAGGCAGTAGGTGTTTGTTTAAAGGGTGGGCCAAAAACCGCAATGGCATTTCATGATTCTCGTTACCTAATGGTTTGAGTGTGAGCTGTGTGAATACAGACAGAAACAAAACATGAAATGCAGCCACTGCATTGTTGCTGGTTTACCCTGGACTGCATGTGAATTTCACGTTCTTCCTTTTGCATTTTTCCACATTGTTTTTTTTTCTTTTTTTTTTTTAAATTTTTTTTATAATGAACCCTTTGCAACATTCAGATAACCAGAAAGAAAAGCTGTTATAAAGAATTGTCCCTGTTACCGCTGAAGGGCACAAATTCCAGAGTCAAGCACTCTTGCTCACACCTCAGCTCTACCTTTAACCTTTCAGTTCAGCGTTCTCATCTCCAAAATGATGGTAGTGGTCCACCCACTAGGCATTAGCTGGAAAGAGCAGATGGGGAAATCATGTGGCACATACAGCCTAGATCAAGGGACATAGTACCTCACAATGGTCTCTTTACGTTTGTTATTGTTCTTATCAAAATGCCACGTCTGTTTGTTCTCACCAGTAGGCATTTAATTGCCCTTGGGAAGGTGTCACTGGAATCAGGAGGCTTTAAGCAAGACACAAACACAATTGCCATAGTGATGCCTGGCTCTGATATTATCCAGTGCACTGCAGGTCACGAATAGACTCCATTTGTCCAGTTTCATTCACTGTTTATCCTGCCTCTCATCCACTTCTCTTGTCTCTACTCCATCTCTCTTGGTGGTGCTGGGGACCAAACCCAGGCCCTTATGCATCCCAAGCTAGCTCCCTGGCAACAAGCTACATCCCCAGCCCTGGTTTTTGTTTTGTTTTTTTCCACTCTTTAAAAAAAAAAAAAAACAAACAATGGGCTGTGCCCACCCTCCCCACCCTCTCCTAGCCCTCCTCACCTGCTGGTACCAGAACTTCACTAGCCGGAGTAGGTTCTTCAGTTTAACAGGGCGGCTTTTCACAAAATGTCTCTGCAACTCTGTGAAGCTTGGCGAGAACTCCCCGGGGTTGCCATTAGTCCTTATTAGATCTTCGTAGATTTCTGGGTCTGGTTTCAAGTCTCGGGAAAAGGATCCTGGGAGGAGAAAGTTGTCTGGTTAGGAAACTCTAGCTCTTGAGATGGGGAAACCTCCCTCCTCCCCTCCCCTCCCCTTTTTCCCCCCTTCACCCTTCCCTCCCCTCCTCCCACCCCCCCTTCCCCCTCCCTCCCCTCCTCCCCTGTCCCCTACTAACACCCAACCAATCCCATGCCCTTTATGCTCCCCAGGGAGGATGAGGCCTTCCATGGGTGATCTTCAGACTCTGCTATATCCTTTGGGATAGTGCCTAGCCTTCCCTCTCCCTCCCTTCTTGACAGGGTCTTTCTGTGGATCCTAGGCTGCCTTCGGGCTTATGATCCACCTGCCTCTGCTTCCTAAGTACAGGGATCACAGTCAAGCTCGTGGAGTCCCCAGATCAGCTCCATAAAGGAGGTAAATTCAAAGGCAACCACGGGAAACCGCCATTTTTATAACTCAAATGTGGGCAAGTATTGTCAGTTCCCATGGCTCTCCTTAACATTATCACATGCACTGAGTTAGTGCACTCAGTCTGGAGGCACTAAGTTGTTGGCCCAAGGTAAGATACAAGAGCCTTGTTTTACAGATGATTCAAATCCAGTTACGGCTAACTCCAAAGACCTTAGAGTGGTTGTTTGACCTGGTATTTCCCAGAGGGTGGGTAGGAACACTGGGACATGGGGACCCATGCCTTTATGGAGGGACACACGTCTTCACAGGATGCTCCCAGTCCCACCTCACCACTAACGAGCAAACTCCAGTGGTTTCTATTTTCTGTAGCTTCTCCCAGAAAGAGCAGACCTCAGAACCATTTCCCTGAAGCTGACCCAGCACTGGGTTTACCCAAAGCATTATAAGCCGGCAGAACATCCATCCGAATAATGCCGTCACTCTTCCTGGGCTGGACCTTTAATGTCAGGGAGCGAGGGGTCCTATTCCCCTTTCTCTGTTTAACCACAGTGATGTTGTAGGCCAGGCTTCTCCAGCAGTGATGCAGCCTTTCCTCGATGAAGCTGATGATGAGTTCTCGGAATCTCGCCTGATCTTTGAAGCTGGAGAAGCAGCTCAGGAACAGAACCATGTCCTGATCAGATCTGTGGTTCAGCGTCGTCCCCTTTCCCGAGGAGCCTCCCTGTGGAGGGGCCGGTACTAAATTGACCTATCCTGAGATTTGGTGCTTTGAGGTTGTGAGGTAGGTCAAAGGCATTAGTGGCAAGTTCCCTATACAATCCTTAAAAGAAGCCACTGGGCCAGGCGGCGGTGGCGCTCGCCTTTAATCCCAGCACTCAGGAGGCAGAGGCCAGTGGATCTACATGAATTTGAGGCCACCCAGGTCTACAGAATGAGTTCCAGGACAGTCAAAGTTAAGCAGAAGAAACCCTGTCTTGAAAAACCACACACACAAGAGAAGTCTTTGATCCCCATCATGGAGGAAGACCTTTGCTGTGGGCATTGCAGGCTGCGCATCCCTAGCCCCAAACTGAGAAATCCAATGTTCTGAAATCTCAAACTTAAAAATAAAATAAAAAAACCCCTCCTTACGTGTATGGGCTTTTGCCTGCATGTATGTTTGTACACTACATGTGTGCCTGTTGTCCCCAGAGGCCAGAAGAGGGTGTGGGTCCTCCAAAACCAGACTTACAGATAGGTGTAAACCACCATACTATGCAAACAATGCATCAACCTCAGGGCTACATCCCCAGCCCCAAACAAATTACTGTTTGAAAAATGCTATAATGAAACAGTGCTGTGTTTCAAAACAAACAAGATGAGAGGGCATGAATCTCAGCGTCTCCTTTTCCCCCTAGACAGTGCCTCACTAGGTAGCCAAGACTGGCCTGGAACTTGCTACATAGCCTAGATTTGACAGCCTTAAACTGGTAACCCTCTTGCTTCAACCTCCCGAGTGCTGGAGTTACAGGTGGGGGCTGCCACTCCCAGCTCTGGACTTACTATTTGCTGTTTCTTTCAGGTCCCAGAAGCGAAGAGGCTGATGGAGCCCTAGACCTGGGAGCTGACAGCTGAAGCAGAGGTTTGGAGGGCCAGAATACAAAAGGGGTGGGTTGTAGCTTTTGAGGCAACTGTAGGAGCTTGAAACCTGTTTTGCTAACAGCTCTCCCTTATCTTTGATGTCAACTGTCTGTCTAGGTTCTTCATAGTCTAAAGCCCTTTCTCTCCAGTTCTCATCTCTGTGGCCATGCATGGCTCAGGGTTCCCGGATAAAGCCTGACTTACTCCAGTTAAGGTGAGATATCTTTTATTTTAGCAAAATGAAGAACACCAAGATTTCTGACCCAAACGATCTTGACTGAAAGGGGTGTGTTGTAAGTTTGCACTTTTCTGGCAGAGAAGACAGATTCTAAGTAGATGCTGATTTACTTACCCAGGTAGCTCCTGGAGTCCCATTGAGCTTACCAACTACTGTCTTGCTAGGTAGTTTCTAACATGACCAATGGCACTAACTTAGGAGAACAACAGGCTTCCTTCATGGCTTCAGAGGTAAAGTAGTATTTCTTAAGCAAGAAGCAAAGGTATACATTTTATGGAAACTGGGGACTGTGGTCCATCCTGAGATCCCAAATTCTCACTACTCCCTCTGTCCTTTAGCTTTGCAAGACTGATTTTATGCTCCATCCATTCATTGCTTATAATAAACCCAACTAAGAAGAGGAGCCTTAGGCTCAAAAGGGTGAAGTGGCCCATCTCCCAAGGTCACAGACCCACAGGGCAGAGATGGGACTTGAACCCAGGACCCTTTGTGCTCACCTTCACCACCTTAAGCACCTTGACTTCTTGGTCCAGAAGTAGCTCATCCCGGAAGCATTGGTCCCGAAGGAACCTCTCAATTCTCTCCCAGGCGTCCTGCCCTTCCTCTTTCCAGTCCCTCTGGGGCTGAAGGCTGTGCTCCACGAAGTGGTCCAGATTGTTCCCAAGGGTACAGTACAGGTCAGGGGTTGGATCCATCTCTGCAGGATCACCCTGTCCCTCCAAGTGAATCCTCAGTGCTTTTGCTCAGGGAGAAGTTTCCAGCCTTCCCCAGATAAAGGCTGGGGAAGATGACAGAAGGATGGAGACACTTGTCTCTGTTTCCAGTGTGGAGAAAGAATGAAGATGTCTCCAGGCAATGCTCTGCTCCTCCCTCCTGGGACGGCTTCTCAGCTCTGCAGCCATTCAGTCAGGAAACCGAAACTTGGGAAACAATTTCCCAAGAATTGAAAGTAAAACTGCAGAGGCAATCAGTTCCCCTTTTTCAAAGCTGGAAGGAACAGCGCCCCCACAGGCTCTGTTGTGCACACTGAATGTGTCTTTTCGGCAGTTTGAGTGGCGGCGATTGGCCAGATAATCGCAGCTGCCCCGGTGCTCTGGTAAAGGCATACTCCTTTATTTTAATCTTAATTACTAGAAGTGTCTCTTGTGCATAGTTATACGGAGGGTCATTACACAGCATCCACCCTACCCTCTGAGTTCCTGACGTCCTCAGCCTACCTCCCCAGGGCTGCTCTCCTGTAGCTAGTGTTCAGGTCTTTTCATGTATACCTAGTTTTAGTTGCTCTTCTGCCTTTCCTCTCCCTCATCTTCCCGGCCCCAGTCTCCATCATATCCTCCCATCAGTAGTGTTCCCCCTTCAACTGTCATAAATTTTTCCCGTGTCACAGGCCCCTCACTGGTTTCTTAGCCTCTTTGCACACTCACTCCCATAGAAATGCACACTCATGACAATTAGAAACTCGGGTTCCCATGTACTTGCTTTCTGAGTCTTACAGTTCTATCCATTTTTTTTCTTGCAGTTTCATTTTTTAACAGCTGAATAAAACTCTAGTGTGTATATGTACTATATGCCTTACTGCTGGTGGACATCAAGGCTGATTCCATTCCTTTCTGCTCTGAAAAGAGCGGCAAAGACCACAGATGTACAAGTATGACTGATGTAAGATACCGTGCTGGTTGTTCTCTGTCAACTTCAAAAACCTAGGCACATCCGGGAAGAGGGATTCTTAATTTTAAAAATGCGCCCCCTAGGAGTGGCAGGTCTGTGGAGATACTGAACTGTCTTGGTTAATGATTAATGTGGGGAGGCCCAGCTCACTGTGGGCAGTGTGACCCCGCGGGGCTGGTGGGCCTGGGTGCTAGAAGAAAGAGCTGGAGTTACATACAAGTAACTGCAGCTGGAAACTAAATCCAGATCCTCTGTAAGAGCAGTTAGTGCCCTGAAATGATGCCCCACCTGAACTCCTGCCTCAAGACGGCCTATTATAAAGAGAGCCATCTCTGAAACTATGGACACCAAAGAACCATTCATTTCCCTAGAACTCTCACACTAGGGAATGGAAAGGCAACAGCCTGATGATATCAGCTGGGGGAGGAACTTGCCTCCTAAGAAGTGAGTTCACACAATTCTGGGAACTTCCTGGCCTCCTCAGAACAGGCTGGATGTAGTGGTATATTATTTATGCTCTATTAAAGTTTGCCTGAGGATTCAGAAAGCAAAGTCAGCCACAAGCCTAGAGCAACAGTGACGTAAGGACAGGTGACAAGTGCTCAAGGGGCAGTGGTTGTGTTCGGTAAAGACGCAGTGTGGCGCCTGGCTCAAGGGAGTGATGGTCGGTCACTAAGTGGAAGGACGGGCTCTCTTTAGGGGTTTGTTCTAGTGGTGCTTACACTACAAAAAAGGTTTTATTACAGACTGGCAGGAATCAGTTTTCATTTAATATGCAATATGCACCAATGTAGAAGAAACATATTTACAGGGTTAAATAACCAGCAGTAGAAAGAGAGCATTTGTAACAACAGAAAGGAGCAAACATATGTACAAAAATCCTAAATCCAAACTATTAGAGTAACCCATTCCACAAAGGGAAAGGGTAAGAGTGCAGCAGCCTCCGTCTTCATGATCGCAGTTCCGCCTCCTTGCAGATGCCATCACAGGACCCTAAAACACAGGAAACCTGAACCTGAGGACAGGTTGTCCCTCGGATGGTGGAACAGGCAGGCTGGATCCCACACACTGGGTTCACTGGAGAACATTAGTTCTGATCGAGAGAGTGGCACCATGACCTGGCTTCCCTCTCGGTGACCCTTTCCTGAGACCCTCGGGGTTAAACAAACAGCTGCCTGGATTGAGTCTCTCTTTTTTTTTTGTGCCTGATTGTTGTGTACCACCACCTTGTCCATCCTATGACTTTCAGAAACCATAGGGACTAGAACTGGACATCAGTGGTAGGGTAGGAATCAGGCTTTGGGTTCTGCCTATGATGTCACCAAAGAAAAGAAAATGGAGGCTGGGCTAAGAAGGAGGGTGAAGAGCAATGACATTAAGTCCAAGTTTAAGGACTACAAGTGTATGCATGAGACCAGGACCCACTGCAGGAGAGTCAGAAACATGGTGGTGGTGGTGGTGGGGGGGCGGGGGCATAAAAAGAGCTACAGAGAAGGAGTTGAGAAAAAAAATCAGAGACATACCAACGGCTGGTTCTGCCTTCTCCTCCTTGGCGTCAGAGAAACTTGCTTCTGCGTGCACTAGAGCAGTGACGGAGATGGTATGGCCTTGGAGAAAGGAGGAGGGAGATGAGGTTGGGTGAGGATCTGGGCCTCTGCTGCCCTACCTCAGACTACAGTTCCCCATCCCTCTGCTCCTGTCTTGGGGTCTTTTCCCCCTAACCGGCCACTGAGGACAGGCTCTGGGGATCTTTCTCCAGCCCAGACTCTACCAGCATCCCAAGGGGCAGTGCCTGTGTTTTCCTGTTCTTCTTAGAGGCTGACATGGCCTCCATGACTCTTGGTGCAGGGTGGTGACTTCCCTCCTTGTGTGCTGCCTTTTTCCCACCCGTCTCCTCCATCATGGCTGCCAGTTTCCTCTCTCCTCCTCCACCTTGATCCCGTAGAGTTCTCCAATATGGGGAGATTGGAGGAGAGATCAAGAGTCCATTGTCACTTCCCTAACTACTCAGTTAACTATGGCCTTTGCACCCAAGTGCCCTGTTAGGGGCCAGGAGTTGTGTTTGTCTTGTGCATTAGAATGACAACCCAACACACATGTTGATAAACATTCTGGGCCTGTAATGACCGGAGGGACCTGGTGGGCTTTGGGATGTCACAACAATTCCATTGCTGACAGGATATGATAAACACAAGCTGACAGGCTGAACAAAAGGGCCGAATCTCCCTCATTCCTCATCTTACAGGAAACAGATGGGTGGTGACCTAAAGCAGAGGGGGGCAGATGGTTTTTACATTGTGCTGAGAAGGTGACTAGCGGGTCTGAGCACCCGCTGTCTTCAGAGCAGTAGAACTGGACAGGAGCGGGGCTTGAACCTGCCTGACAGGGCCTCTATCCTTAGCCTGTGGTTTCTCAGACAAGGCCAGTGGTGGGTTGAGTGCCTGGCCATTACAGTGCACTACTGTTACTACTGCCTTGCTTCAGAGAGGCTCAAGGGGCCACTGGATACAGAAGTCCCTGGTTGAAATAACTTCAGGGTTCGCTCCTAGTCCTACGGTATGGGAAATGGAGCCATAGTGGAGGTGAGGAGTGTGATTGAAGATGAAGTCACCAGCCTTCTCCAGGACCCTGGAGTGTGTGCTGGCCTCCTGGTGACCTGGTTTGTAACTCATCCCTCCCACAAGTGTCCATTAAAAATAGGTGTGCTGTGAGAGGGCAGGACAGAGAATTTCTGACTTTCTGAGGCCTGATAGAGGAAGGAGAGTGGACTTCTCACTCACAACCCATGTTGTGTCTCTAGATTCCTCAAGCTGTGGGGAACACGAACCCCAAACTAAATATCTTATGCACAGACTCCAGCAGGTGGCCCCACAGTCAGTGTCCACTGTGGAGGTGTCTGGCGCAGGACCACGAGAGGTGGGGCTTGAGGAGAGGGTTATTGCCAACTAGAAAAGCAGAAAGGCCACTCCAACTGGGCACTGATCCTTACATCATAAAACAAGGAAACAGGGAAGGCATCTCTGCTTTTCAGTTCTGTTTCCTACCTGTTTATACTTTACTCCCATAGTCCCCAGAGCAGCACATATACCCGGAACCTTTTCCCCCTACAGTCCTACCCCAAGAGGTTATGTACCTTCACAGTCTTCCTCATCGCTGCTCCAGTCCCACTGCCTGTGGGCATTCCAACCTTTAGAGACATAAACACAGTCAGTGGACAGTCTTCCCCATTCCTTCTGTGTCTCTTGTAGTGACGGCAGGGTATGGTTTGGAGGTATGGTGTGCCCCCCAATGTTGAGTGTGGTGATATTGAGAGGAGGTAAACTCTTTTGGAAGTGGCCTCAGGTGGGGTGTAATTAGACTGTCGGAAGACAGCAAGCTGGCTCAACAGGTAAAAGGTGTGTGGTGCAAGGGTAAAACGGATTCCCATGGGTTTCCCTCCAACCTCCATACATGCTCACCCGCACTTACCCATGCTCGAACACCCTAAATAAATGAATGTCACAAATGGGTCATTGGACCACCATGCCAATATGGAGTTACTGTGGTTTGCTCAGGGCCTGCTTAGTTCCTATCTGAGTGGTGTACTATTAAAACGAGAAAAGCAGATGCCCAAATCCCTTGTACTTCACACCTCACCTCTTACAGCCCCTTTCTTTTATATGGACAAGTGTTGTGATGAGCCAAGATGATGTTCACAAATGCCAGGACATACTGTTGCCATACTATGGACATCTAGAATTGTGTGCTAAACTTCCCGCTGTACAGTATCAAACATTTTTGTGGTAGTCATGGGAAACTGATGGATAGTACATTGTGGCCCTGTTCTCTGGGTTCTCAGACGTTTCCTGGCTTCTGTGGACTCTGAGGCCTCCAGTATGAGCCTGCAGGGTCTTGTAAGCCTTCAAGTGGGCAAGGGAAGCTGAAGGATCAGATTTCAGTTCTCACCCAGTACAGCTCCTACTTCCAAACAGATCAAGCCCCACCCCCGCGGTGTGTGTGTGTGTGTGTGTGTGTGTGTGTGTGTGTGTGTGTGTGTGTGCGCGCGCGCGCTGAAGTATCTAAAATCAGAGAACAGACCATAAGCCAAGTGCCCATGAGATTACAGTATTATTCTTCCCCTATATTATACACATCTGTCTATTGGAGAAATGAGCTGCAGCTACAGGGCTGGGATCCTCAATGTTTGTGTTTGAATTAATATAATTCGGATAAGACATGGGTTTGGTGGCTATGAGGCTGGATGGCAAAGAGGACAAAGATGAGGAGATCCAACCTCTCCCCTTCCCTTCATGATCTTGTGGAGTAATTTGCTATGCCATCTCATCATACATTACAAGGCTCACTGGGTATGTACAGAAGGACTGGGTATGCTTTACATTCCTCTGGATACTAAATCAATGAGTTTAAATAACTTCAAGGCCCAGCTGGACTCCAGCAAGGCCCAGGGCATCCTGTTCACAAGCAATTGGAAACAGAAGGGTCAAGGTGTTCACTTCAGGAGTCACTCTCACCTCCTGAGCTGGTCATCATCAGTAGACATTTGGACCTGTGTAGGGCACAGCATGCTGAACAGGCTGAGGACGAAGCTTTCTGCTTTCCTCACGTGAGCAATGTCCCAACTCAGGAGATGCTTATGAGGAGTGTGATAGTTGCCTAGGACTGAGCCAAGTGAGAAGGAGAAACTCTGTTCCTGCTGTCAGAGTCATGACCAGAGCTTCTGTCAGTGTGAAGAGGATGACACTGATAGCATTTGGAGATGGCAATGTAAAGATGCAACAGAGGTTTCCAAAGTTATGTTCTGAGGGCCACACATGGGAGCTAATGGGATAACCTGGAGTGTGGGGTCATGCCCCATCAATATACTAAGCTCGTCGTCTACTGTGGTCATGCCTTCATGCCCCTACCGTTTCTGAAAGACCAATGCCTTCCAGCGGTACAGGCTGTGCCCTTGGAGGCTCAATCCACTTTCAGTGTGCCATCAGCAGTGTTGATGCAAGGACCAGTTGGAAGGTGACTTCCAATGGAAAGTGAGCCATAGAAGTTGTCTTTGTCCTGACCACAGGGAGTTTAGGCTCAAAGAAATCCAAAGGCATGGAGCAAATCTACTGTTAAGAAACACCAGTTGGTGCTGGAGAGATGGCTCAGTGCTTATCTCTTCCAGAGGATCCTGGTTCAGCTCCCAGCATCCACACGATGGCTCATAACTGTCTATAATGCAAGTTCCAAGACTCTCTTAGGGCCTGCCTCTGTGTGTATTGCGTGCACATAATGAGTAGACATATATGCAGGCAAAACACTAATACACATAAAAACAAAATTGAAAAAAAAATAAAGAAACCTGCGGTGTTCGTGAATGATGTCTGTGTCAAGCATGCTATTGTTAGCTAATGTAAAATTGTCTTCTATCGAGGAAAGAAATGTATCAGGACTACGCTTCCCTGAAATGTTTGTGACATTTGTCGATACCTTAAGATTCCATTAACATATGCCTATGCTGTGCCAGATGTCTGTGTTCTCATGACCACACCGTGATACCGTTGGAAACCACACCTGCCAGAAAAAAGCAACTTCTATGTTCTACAGAGATCCAATCAACCTACTCGGGTATTCGATGGATTCTTCTGATCTTCTGTGATGATGGAAGCTATCCCTCAAGGTCTCCAGGATGACTAGGAAGAGAGGGAGACACCATCAGTACCCTGACACTGCTGCTCGTGGCTTTTGCAGGAGCATCAGACAGAAGGCAAAGGGCAGGGGCAGGAGGGGATGGGAGGCAGGGGATTTAGCTCTCCAGCTGGAGGCATCCTAGCTTGTAAAACTGTCTACATGGGATGAACATGAAGCATATGCTAGGCCCCGGGGACCTAGGTCCATGCCTCCTCTGTCTGGTAAAAGCTAACCTCAACTGCCATTATCATCTCGGTAACTTCTGAGACCTTCTCTTCCCCAGATCTCCACATGTTTTTATACATACTCTTCCTATTTGTTTACAAGGAAAAAAAATTTGACCTTTTCCAGCTTTGGTGGCACATGCCTTTAACACTAGCTCTCAGGAGGCAGAGGCAGGTACATCTGTGAGTCTGAGACCAGCCTGGTTTACATAGTTCCAGGCTAGGCAGGACTACAAAGTGATAACCTTGTCTCAAAAAAATAAAGTAAAATAAAAAAGTGATCTTTGTTGGGAGAATGGGTTAAATTCTAGAAAAAAATGCTCTAGCTGTTAATTCTTTTTGAGAATATTTATAACTATGGAAATAATGAAAGAATGTCATTTCCAGATAACCACCTCCAAGGTGTGATAGTTTTCCTCATCTTCCTTCTGTATAGAAGGTTCCGAGATAACCATGGGATTGGTGACCAGCTCATGTGAGGCTCCCACAGTGGGACATCCAGCTTAGTTAGCATGTGGTGTCTCCACTTCCTATCTGACATATACCACAGGTGTGCACTGAGGGATCTGGACTCAAGAGTAACAGCCAGCTGGAGCATTTTGTTACACTTTTAGATACACTTGCTAGGGAATTTGAGTGTCTGTAAGGGTTTAGATGATCATCTCATTACATGCAGTCAAATAACCCCATGATACTTCTCTGCTGTGAGCAAGGGGTGAGAAAGAGGTCATACAGCCTTGACAGACAATGACTTACACTGTGGTACAGCTACCTCACCTACCTATGGAGCCTATTTGAATTTCACATTAATGACTTTAGTACTTTTTTTTTGGTTTGTGTGTGTGTGTTTGTTTGTTTGTTGAGATAGGGTTTCTTTGTATAGCCTTGGCTGTCCTAGAACTAGCTCTGTAGACCACACTGGCCTCGAACTCACAGAGATCCGCCTGCTTCTGCCTCCCAAGTGCTGGGATTAAAGATGTGTGCCATCACTGCCCGGCCTCCATGTGTGCTTTTAAATGTCTGCTGGATTGTGTGAACAGCACTGTGGCTGCTTTCCAATGATGAGCAGTGTTGGGAACTCTGTAGGTGGAATCACGCCAGGTGTTTGCCTGAGATGAAATACCCTGGCATAGTGACAGTGGATCCCATGGCTGGGACTAGAATGTGGGTCTGAAGCTCAGATCATCAACTTTGGGACTCCTCCTTTGCCTCTGTTCATACAGAGCCATGATCAGGGACCATTCAGCTCTGCAGTGTCTCTGCATGCATGAAACTGATCTTGATATTAAGCTATGTTTGGGGTTGAAGAAATAAAAACTTCCATGAAATGTGTACTTTGTTTGTTTTGGAGTGTGGGGGTTTATTCCTCTTGGACTCACCCACAGCTACCTTCCAAACCTTCATGTACACAAATCCACACTACCAAAATAATGTAGCTGCTTCCAGCAGTTGGCCCCAACTTTCCATGGGATCACCAACAGGATTAACTATAGCCCATTTCTCCTTTCCAACTGGAGATTAAAATCAGGATGGATTTCTCAACAAAAAAACAGGCAAGAAAAATCTATCCCTTTTTAGCATTTAAAATTACCCTCGGCATGTGAGTTTGGGACACTTACTGTTTTCCTTGTCTGAGGGTTCCACCTGTGGTCACAGAAAGAAAAATAACATGAGGATCAGGCCATGCTCTGTCCCATTTGCTCAGGTCTTTTGTTCACTATGGCAGCATTAGAAAACTGCATAGGAAGCCAGCCAATGGTAGCACACGCCTTTAATCCCAGCACTTGGGAGGCAGAGGTAGGCGGATCCTTGTGAGTTCGAGGCCAGTGTGATCTACAGAGTGAGTTCTAGGACAGGCTGCAAAGCTACAGAGAAACCCTGTCTTGAAAAACAAAAACAAAAACCAAGGAAGGGAAAATTGCATGGGGAACAATGACCTCTACAATGTCCCTAAAATGAAGTCAGACAGCATTTAAGAAGACACAGGAGCTATCCTCCACTTGGTAGCTGACACTGATCCTCACGAAAATCATCTGGAATCAGGCATCAGTTGGCAATAGACTTGCATTTGACGTTTCTCCACCAAGGAAACTTTTCGTATAGAGTTTAATGTCTGCACTTGATTCCCCAAAGAAAGAAAGAAAGAAAGCAAAACAACATGACTACCTCAGACAAAGAAGGACCAGTCTTACCTTCCCGACAGACAGTTCCTCCTCCTGTTCTGGGAAGACACAGGGGACCACCTCCATTATGACCCTGTTGGAAACTGGAAGGAAGCAGGGTACCTACTGTCAGTCCACTGGCCTTACTTGATGAAAACCTCGAGAACTTGTGTGGTGTGGACACAGAGCTGGAAGGGATGGAGGTGGCCCCGTTGACACACAGTTTCAGTTGCTGCTGGGGCACACTCCTTAGAGGGTGAAAGAAGCAAAGGGAGTGAACCCAGAAGCAAATGTGTGTTTGCGGGGGGGTGAGAGATTTGGGGGGGTGAGAGAAAGGACGGGAGCATGATGCAAATGAATGCGCTGCTGAAGAGGAAGACTTCACTATCCCCTCAACAGTCCTGAATGACCCAGAAAGAACAAAAATGATGGTACAGTTGAACCGAACACTATGCTGTTGTCAAATTATGCCACTGGAAAATTCCACATTAAAACTCAGCTGTGGTGGGGCACACGAGTAATCTCTGGCCCGAGAAGCTGAGGCAGGAGGACATACGGAGGTTGGAGGCCAACCCAGGGTGCACACTGTTGTAAATAGGTGTTCGTTCCTGAGGTTGCTAGTGACTGACTGACTGAATGTACATTTGCACATGTCGGATAAAGAAATGCAGAACCCTGACTACATAGAGTCATTATTGGTTCAAGGACTGAGTTTTTACTGACCATCACTGGGGTAAGTGGGCTCCACCCTGCTGGGTGGCCACAAGCGGATCCTTGTCCCGTGGACAAAATGTTTCCTCCTCTGAGGAACATCTTCATCTGAGATGCAGCAACCTAGGAGACAGAAGAGGTTGAAGACAGATGTTGGCATCTTACGTTGGCTAAATTTTAACAGTCAAACACTGTCTTGACTGGCGTATAATAACTGCATTTTTTGGCGGGTGGGAGGAGGAGGTTTCGAGGCAGGGTTTCTCTGTGGCTTTGGAGGCTGTCCTGGAACTAGCTCTTGTAGACCAGGCTGGTCTCGAACTTACAGAGATCCGCCTGCCTCTGCCTCCTGTGTGGGGCGAAAGGTGGGACTAAAGGACTTTAGTGCTGGGACTAAAGGTGTGTGCCACCAACAACCGGCAATAACTGCATATTTTGAGGTAAGTCTATTTTGAGATAGTGTTCATCATCCAATAATACCATTTTCAGCATCGCTTGCACATTACTGTTTGTGCTGAAGGCAAATTGTGTAATTTGGGGCAACAAGGAGTAGAACTGGAGGACATTGTGCTGAGTGAAATAAGCCAGGCACAGAACAAAACTCTGTTTCACCGCACATGAGGGAAATGAAATGAATTGCCAGGCAGTGGTGCACACCTTTAATCTCAACACTCGGGAGGCAGAGACAGGTAGATCTCTGTGAGTTCGAGGCTAGTCTTGTCTATAGCCAAGTGAGTTCCAGGAAAGCCAGGGCTTGAAAAGCCATAAAAAAGCAACAAAATCCAAACAAGTAAACAAACAATGAATCCCAGGAGATGAGAGTAGACCTGGGATTGGCAGACACTGAAATGGCTGTGTTACAGGTGGACTTTAGGAATATGTTGGTTTAAAAAAAACTGTGTGTGTGTGTGTGTGTGTGTGTGTGTGTGTGTGTGTGTGTGTGTGTGTGTGTGTGTGTGTGCACGTGTGTGCAGAAAAGGGTGTTGGATCACATGGAGCTGGATCTAGAGGTAGTTGTGAGCTGCCTGATGTGTTGCTGATAGCCAAACCCTAGGACAGAAGGTGCCCTCACTGCTGAGCTATTTCCCCAACCCAAGTTCTAGGGTTTTATTGTACAGGCTGTGACTGTCCTTAACAAAAAGAACCCATTGGGTTATTAAGACAATTGACATTCAAAGTTACTGTTGAAAGCTCGGTCTTAATTTTTGTCATTTTGTTGAGTTTTCAGTGTTTCTTTAGACCTCTTTTGATTTAGTGTCTCAGTGTTGTTTGTACCCTGTGGCCTCTTGGGTGTGTTTATTATTTTCTCCATCCTTCCAGTGACATCTGTAGACTGGCTTAGTGGTCATAAATTCATATATTCTGTTTTGATTTTTAATCATAGAGAGGTTTTTGTTTTTTGTTTTTTTTTTTTTTTTGGTTCAATTTTAGTAGATAGTTTTGTTGGGTATAATAGTCTTGGTTGGCAATTGTGGTCTTTAAAAAGCTTGAATACAGGCGGTGGTGGTGCACGCCTGTAATCCCAGCACTCGGGAGGTGGAGGCAGAGGCAGGCATATCTTTGTGAGTTCAAGACCAGCCCGGTCTACAAGAGCTAGTTCCAGGACAGCCTCCAAAGCCACAGAGAAATCCTATCTTGAAAAAAAAAAGGGGCTGGAGAGATGGCTCAGAGGTTAAGAGCACTGACTGCTCTTCCAGAGGTCCTGAGTTCAATTCCCAGCAACCACATGATGGCTCACAACCATCCGTTATGAGACCTGGTGCCCTCTTCTGGTGTACATGGAAGCAGAATATTGTATACATAATAAATAAATAAATTCTTTATAAAAAAAGCTATAATACATTTCTCCAGGCAGTCTGACTTCAACATTTCTATTGTACAATCAGCTGTTACTCTACTGGGCCTGCCTTTGTAAGCTGCTTGGCCTTTTTCTCTTGCAGCTTCCAGTAGCCCTTTTTTATTCTGTGTTTTAACTACAACGTGTCATGGGAAAGTTTCTTTTTCGGTCTTGTCTATGTGATATTCTGTGTTCCTCTCATGCCTGAAGTGTCAGGAGCTCAGTGGAGGCAGAAGGTATGTGCCCATGTCATCTGGCTACTGGGCTGAGCATCTGGATGAAGGCTTGGCAGAGAATGAGCAGCGGTCATACCTCCTACTCACAGCCTCTCACTCCACCCAGATCCCACAAGGCCAGGAGCAGAGAGGTTGTGTCTCAGTCACAGCCTGTGACCCTACAAAGGACACTTTCTGTGACCCTAGCCAAGCCCTCTCAGCCCCCATCATTACGTAACTCTCCCATTGAACTCAGGGCACTGTACCCTGTCACCAGCATCTCAGCAGCTCCCAGGCAGCTTGAAGCCAGTTTCCACAGAAATCCCATTTTGTTTCCTTTTAACAACTCTGGAATCTAAGTGCTATAATCTAACGTTGGCTCTGAGCGCCTCTCTCTCATTTGTATGTGTGTGCACCTGTATGCCGTGGTGTGTGTGCAGAAGTCAGCGGCCAATTTCCAGAATCATACTTCACCCTCTTATTTGAGACTGGGTCTCCCTCGTTCACTGCTGCATACTACCATCTAGCTGGCTGCCAGTAACGGCGGGCACAGTGGGATCACACACACTGGCATTGCTTCGTTTAAGTTTTTACATGGGTTCTGGGGATCTGAACTCAAGATGTCAGGATTGCTACAAGCTCTTGACCTACTGAGCCGTCTCCCCAGTCCGGGATTTGGATTTCACCATGCTCATCGAGAAGAGGCTCTCTCTTGTTATTCTCCTTTCGTGGAGTGTTGTCTATCCCTAGGTTGAGTGTCAGGATTCTCTCATGTGGCCATGCTGTCCTGTGCCTAGTCTCTAGAAGACTATACAAAGTTGGGAGCAGGACATGTACTAACACTACTAGTAAAACAAATTTAAGCCAGCTAGTCTGAAGGAAGAGTTACAAGTACGGATCAAATAATAGGAAAAGCAAACTTGAAAATCGGTTGAAAATTTGAAATGGGACGGTAACACACTGGTGACACGCCAGGGAAATACGTTGTGTGAGACTGGACTGGCCCCTCTGAGGAGAGTGGACGTACCTCTGTAGCAACATTTCAGGTTTCCCATCTCAGGGAATTCTAGGTATCAACCTAAAACCTGGCTCCTCTGCTCTGTGGATGTGGACTGTTCGGTTCACCGAGATACAGTTGGAATGGAAGGCCAGACGTGCATGTGCACATTGCCATGGCGACCATTCATCATAGAATGTTCGGAGCACCTGCCTTTTTTATGGGATGCTGTTGCAGTGCGGTGTACAAGTGTGTTGTGTAAGATGACATGTTTTGTTTCAAAAGCTGGATCCCAGACCCATACAGTATTATACTGCAATACAATAATAATATAATTTTACCATACTTAGTCCTGTTTTCCCTTTTTATTCTGTGGCTTGAACTTTGTGCCTTGTGCTAGCTTAGCAAGCAGTCTCCACGCCTGTGTTTATTAAAACAAATGACTAAAGAATGTCTGCCACCGGCCTGGAGAGATGGCTCCGAGGTTAAGGGCACTGGCTGGTCTTCCAGGGGTCCTGAGTTCAATTCCCAGCAACCACATGGTGGGTCACAACCATCTGTAATGAGATTTGGTGCCCTTGATCATGGAAATATCATCATGAAAGAGGGATAAGAAGTAACATGTTGCCAGGTAGTGGTGGCGCACGCCTTTAATGCCAGCACCCAGGAGGCAGAGGCAGGCGGACCTCTGTGAGTTCGAGGCCAGCCTGGTCTACAACAAACACAGTGGGGAGGGCAGAACTGTTTCTAAAGACAAGTAAATACTCCACTCTCCCATCCAGTCTTGAAAGCAACGGAGCATGGATGCATCTTCTGCCCTACCTGTATCAAGGCAACTCCTAAAAGAGACACAAGACAGAATACCTTCCTTCCCTCCCCCCCTGCTTTTTTGTTTGTTTGTTTGTTTTTCAAAAATAGGATTTCTCTATGTAACAGTTCTGGCTTTCCAGGAACTTGAATTGAGTGCTGGGATAAAAGGTGTGCACCACCACTGCTCTGCTACTCCAAATTTTCTTACCACCAAGAGGCTGAGGAGACTGGTAGATTGTATAACCCACAGGCCACTTGAGGTGGGAGACAGATATGAATGTGCTCTGCCCAAAATTCATAAACTTATTGAAAATACAAGTTGTTTGTATGTGATTAGGAAAAAAAACCCAGAAGACCTTTATTCCCTGGCTGTTGGGCATGCACTTTGCAGGTGACAACATGGTGTCACTATGTCACTATGGCTAGGACTTTAATGGACACTGTCTAGGATTCAAGTGAGTCCTAGTAGGAAAGCCATTAAATGTTGAGGAGGGGAATGAAGACATAGGGAAGACACTGATGTTAAGAAAATGAATTAAAAAGACATTTGAGGAAAAGAACTATGCTAATTATACATCTATTAACAACACCAGAGACTGGCTTCCAATCCCCAGAAGGAAAGCACCCTGGAGAGTTCACTTAACAGTTGCTTTCCGTCATTAATGGATCCCCAAGGTATTTAGGCTTATCTGTCTGGTGGCTCATGCATGTGGCTGAGGCAGGAGGACTGCCTGTGGTGGACTGAAAGAGAATGACTTCCACAGGCTCATATATTTGAAATCTTGGCTCCCTATTAGCGAACTGTGTGGGAAGGATTAGGAGGGGTGGCCCTATTGGAAGGAGGTGTGTCATCAGGGGTGGGTTTGGGGACTTCAAAAACAGACATCATTTTCAGTTAGCTCTCTCTGCCTGAGCTTATAGACCAAATGCAAGCTCTCAGCCTGCCCGCTGTCGTGCTCCCCACAGTCATGGTCATGGGCTCCACTACCACCTGGTACCATTAGCCCCAAATCAAACGCTTTCTTTTATAAATTGCCTTGGCCATAGTGTCCTGTCACAGCAATGGTAAAGTGACTAAGACACTGCCATTGAGTTTGGCCTGTCCTGTGACACACATTAAGTTCTAGGCCAATCAGGTCTGCATAGAGACCCTGTCTCAGAAAACCCAAAAACTGTTTTCTTAAATCTGCACTATAAGGATTCAGGCATTATGCTGGCCTGTCCTTGTCACCTGGCAGAATGCACTCAGGCAGTACCCTGGTCAGTCCAGGGTTCCATGGAGGTACAACGGACGGACCCCTTAAGAGAAAGACCCCGCCCACTTAATGGTCTTTTTTGCCTGCTCATCTTTTTCTGCTCTATTCTCTTTCCCTCTCCTCTCTTTCCCGCTCTCTTTTCTTCCCTGCTCTCCTCTCTTTCCTACTGTTCTCCTGGGGCAAATGGGACTTTTCCTGTCTCCCTCTTCTCTCCTGTCCTCTGTCTCTGTCTCTGTCTCTGTCTGTCTGTCTATCTGTCTGTCTGTCTGAATGTCTGTCTGTCTCTCTCTCTCTCTCCCTCTTTTCTCTTCCCTACCCCCTTCCATCTCTGTTCCCAGTTGGCCAGCACCTACCCCTCCCTTCGCTCCCTTTCCCAATAAACTCCGCGTGGATTTGTTAAAGTTTGGTGGTTCGTGTTTCATCACCCACCGCAGCAGCTGCAGAAAAACAGCAACACACACTGCATATAGATCGATATTATCTAGAATTCTTAAACTCTGTATCTTTGATACAGTTTCTAGTAAGAATAATTCACTCTGATTTATGATCATCCAGTCGGGCGTTGGTGGCGCACGCCTTTAATCCCAGCACTCCGAAGGCAGAGGCAGGTGGATCTCTGTGAGTTCAAGGCCAGCCTGTTCTCTAGAGCGAGTGCCAGGACAGGCTCCAAAGCTACACAGAGAAACCCTGTCTCAAAAGGTAAATAAATAAATAAATTTATGGTCATCCTCCTGTCTTAGCCTCCTGAAGACTGATATTGCCAATGTGCAATGTCCCACCTGATTTTCTACTCACTTTCTCTTGTTGTTTGAAGTGTGTGTGTGTGTGTGTGTGTGTGTGTGTGTGTGTGTGTATGTGTGTGTGTTGCACAAACAAGAAAACATGAGATGTGTCTCTGTGAGTGTGGGTTTTTCACATGATGTGAGACTCTCTACTTCCATCCCCATTTTCCTGAAAAAGATACTGGTTTTATGGCTAAATAAACCTCTGTGTTTGTATATACACCATATTTTCCAAATCTGTTCATCTGTGAATGGACAATCTGATTCCATTATTTGGCTCCTGTGAAGAGTGGACAACATTCATGGTTGTGTAGGTCTCTCTGTGGCATGCTGACTTGTATTCCTGGGTATATTCCCAGGCCTGATCTGGCTGTATTACATGATGGATCTAGTCTTGATTTTTCAAGGATCCTCCGTGTGATTTCCACAATGGCTGCACTTCCATCCCCACAGTGGTGTATGAACTCACAGAGATCTGCCTGCCTCTGCCTTCCAAGTGCTGGGATTAAAGGCATGCACCACCACCACCCAGCTATTCAGAAGATTTTTAAGTTTCACGATATCCCATTTGACAATTCTTGCTACTACTCCCCTAGCTAATAAGTGTGGTGATATGTTATTATGGTCTAATAAAGCCACTGAGGATCCAAGTGCAAAACCAGCCACACTAGTTAGATATAGAAGCTGGGTGGTGGTGGCATATGTCTTTAATCCAAGGACTCAAGAGATAAAGGCAAATGGATCTCTGTGAGTTCAAAGGCACCCAGGGCTACATTAGAGTGAATCAGTCTAAAAGAGAATTACAGTTCACGCCTTTAATCCCAGCCCTAGAGAGGTTTATAAAAGACAGGAGCCCAGTGTCTCAGGAGGCATTCTGAGATTTATTCTCCAGCTACCTTGAGGAGAGGCAGCAGTTCAGGATTGCAGTCTGAGGCTTGGTGGAGACAGGATTGCATGCAGTCTGAGGTTTGGTAGAGAGACTGATTCTCCAGCCACACTGAGGACAGGACATCCCTTTCAGCCTGAGCTAGACTAGTGTCGGGCTCCCTTTGCTTTTCTGATCTTCAGCTTGAGGCTTGAACTCCAATGCCAGTCTCTGGGTTTTTATTAATCATGTTACAAGTAAGAGTCTTTTCCAGGAATTCCTTGTTTGTGCCTGTTTCTTGATGTGTCTGCTTTCCCTAAATGAAGTTTTTTGTTTTACAGGAAGGCCTCTGACCTTTTTTTTTTTTTCCTATTTTGTTGTTGCTATCGCTGTACATGTGCATATGATATGGGGAGGCGCATGTTTGTGGTGCACATGCGGAGGTCAGCGAACACTTTTGTGGGGTCAGTTCTCTCCTTCAACCTTTGCTTGGGTTCCAGGGATGGGGCTTGGCTCTTTAGACTTGCATGCTAGTGATTTTACCCACTGAGCCATGCCACTGGCTCTTTGAGCTCATCCTTTCCAGGATGAGGGGTAGGCATCTGTTTCATTCTGTATGTAGTTGCAGTTTCCCCGAGCCATTTGCAGAGACTGTCTTGTTTCCAATATGTTTGGGCACCATTTGTCAAAATCAGGTGACTGCTCCTGTGTGGGTGTTTTTGGCTTTTCTGCTCTGTCCTGTTAAGTCTTGGTGTATTTTTGTGCTGGTCCCGTCCCCTGTGGCTCTATGATACCCTATGGAGTTAGGCATTGTGGTACTCCCAGCCTTGTACTTTTTAAAACTTTCATTTTATTTTCCTTTTGGAAATTGTTTACAGCATTATTTTATAGGAATCATGGAGTACAACCGAAACCTTTTAAAAAAACAGCAAATATTTCTGAAGGAAATCTTTATTTGAAATACGATATAATCAACTGAAGTATACAGTTCACATCAAATATCATTTAAAGTATTATCCCAAGTCATATTTCTATATGAGGTACTTTGTGTGTGTGCTGTGATAGTATATATGAGACCACATGGGAAGAAAAGGCAGATAAGCTAGAGTGGGGGAGACAGGAGGAGTTATGGGGCTGAATGGGATATGTCTATAACAATGGTGGAATAAAACTCAATGATATAGATTAATCAAAATTTTAAGAATTGAAAGCACATAGAGAAATGTATAGGATAATTTACATACCAGTTTCTGTTCCCTCTTTCTGAATCCTCAAAATCCATGAAACATACTTCTGAATATGCCAGGACAGTGACCAGGACGGAGTGGCCTTGGGGAGAGGAGGATAGAGTTCAAGTCCAAAGGAGAATGTGCTGCTCTGCTTCTGGTGTCTCAGAGCCGTAGTCACCTCACTGTGCACTGGGGACAGTGGCTGGGATCCAGGGCTCTTTTGCAGCCCAGATCCCATCACTGTACTGCCCGGCGCACTGCCTGTGTCTTCCGAGATGCCACCGAGGTCTCTGTGGCTCCTGTGTGGCACCCACCTCCCTCGCTTTGTCCTTCCCCAAACTGTTTGTCTTACCCTGTCCTTGTTTCTGCCATTTCCTTGTCCCTGTCAACTTCCACTATGAAGGTTCCTCCATGAAGGTCAGGGCTACTTCCCTCCCACCTCTGTTTACTCAGCTACTTACCAGCTACCCACCCCAAACCTTGAGACCTGTTGTGGGACTAGGGTTCTATTGCATCTTGTGGGAGAGATTTATAACCTCCTTATCGAGAATTTCTGAGTTTAGAATGGCACGAGGGACTTATGAAAACATTGGACCTTCATGACAATTGCAGAGGTGACTAGAAAAAAGTTGAGAGGTGAAATCAAACTTGTGCAAATCTCCTACTTTGTAATTATATCCTACAGGAGGGAGATATAAAGATACTGACCTAAAGAGGGGCTTGGCAGTGTTTGCACTGGGCCCCGGAAGAGCTGATGGTCAAGGCGACCAGCAGTCTGAGGACAGGAAACAGAGTGGTGTTATCTGGAGGGCTGGGGCTGGGTTAAGCAGAAGTGAGTTAGACCCTGCTACCTAGAAGCCCCTTGCTGAGCTTTGATTAACTCCTAGAGATGGGGCAGGCCCATAGGAGTGAGTCAGCAGATGCAGAGTGTTCCCACAGCCCTGTATGGCAACTGGCCTCTATTGGATGACTGGAAAGGCAACTAGACACAGGCATCTCAGTGGAAGTAACTTCGGGGGCTGTTGGTAGTCTCAGGGTGAAGAACAATAACAAGAAATAGCAATCAAGGATGTGTTTCTACCGGTCTACTACAAAAGGTGCAGAGACATATGCCGGACTCCCAGAGCAACAGTCTAGAGCTCACCCCTCCCCCACCCCATGACGTTGCCCTTTGAACCAGGAGTGGACGGAGAGCTCAGAAAGGAAAATGCTGTGAGCCTTGAAAGTGCTGGGTGGGGTGGGGTGGGATGGGGTGGGATGGGGTAAGGTGCCACCCTCCGCCTGGCACATACAACAAGTCCATCTCTAGGGTGAACTGCCATCTGAATTCCCACTGCTGTATTGCAGTGACCCAGGACCCACTGTGAAATCCAAGCTCATGCTTGTGATGGGCTCTTGAACCCCCAAACTGTAATCTAAACTTCCCTACCTACAGTAGGCATTTTGTTATGTCATAGAAACAGACTAGTGCAGTCGATCGAGGAAGGTTAGTCTGCTCTGTCCTGTCCCTGAAAGCTGAGATGTTTCCTGGGCTCTGAAGACTCAGGAGCCTTCAGCAAAACAGAGGCTATTCTTGCAAGCCTTCCGGCAGGAGAGGGAAGCTGAACAGTCACCTCTCAGTTTGCTCTTTCGGTAGCCCAGGATAGCTCTCACCTCTACATCTATCAAGCTAGAATTCCAGCTGTGAAGGGCATGCTTTGTCATATGTGGGTTTGATGAAAGAGTTGGGCCAGTCTCAGAGCAGCCGCCCATGAGAAGATGAGCTCTGCCCCATAAACAACCTGTCCGCCGGGAACATGAAATGTGGGGAGTAGACTGAACAGTTAGAATCCTTTAAGTCGATGTAAAATTTATAGTGTTTATCTGCCGTAGCAATGGTATTGAGTTGCAAAGACCAAGGGAGTCTAACAATGAGGAAATCTCACCTGCTGTTTCCTGGCGATCTGTTGCAGAGTTGTTCGCTTGCCCCGATCTGCTCCCACACTCTCAAGCCCTCCCTTGGTACATGTGCAAGGCTAGCTTTTTTTTTTTTTTTTTTTTTGTGAGGTGCTAGGGACACTAATTTGGTGATGTTAACATCAAGGTCTAGCTATGCTCTTTGGATGGTCACAGTGTGAGGAATCAATACAAGTGTTGGGGACAGATGGAAGACAGAGCACTAACTCCAGGAGCCGTTCTTATCTCCTGAACCTAGTCATAGCCCAGGTGACAGCTAGCTCCATTTGGGGCACCACAGTCTGAGGGGCGGAATTTTTCCAGAAAGAGAGATACCTTATCCTGGGTAAACATCATGTGTCTCCCAAACAGAAAATACTTTAACAGCTTTGTCTACGTCAGTACCAGATGGTAGGCATCTGGAAGCAGATGAACGGTGGGAAGGCGTTTTAGACTCAGGATGCTTGGGCCTGTAAGCCCCTGTCTCAGGGTCAACTTTAGTGTCCATTCTCCTGTCTCAGATTCCTACCAGAATCTTGCTCTGGCTATAGCAAGGCCCTATTCCAGAGAAACTTTCAGCCCAGAATTCATGCTGAAGATCGGTCATAGAAAAGGAACTTTGGGGCTTTTTCAAAAAAGACTTGTGAACAGGGAAATCCTGAGTGAGAAATTCTGGCCAGTCAAAAGCCATGAGCAGACACAGAGGGCACAGAGGGGACTTCTTGGTTAAATGAAGCTTTAAAGGGCTTTATCCAGGGACAGTGGTTGTGAAACGTATCTCGTCCTATGGGCATTTCCCGGGTTTGGGTGGGAATCCAATAAGACCTCGGGGACAGCTAGGAAGACCCAGAAGGGGTGTCAGCAGGCTGACAGTGTTGCTCATGGACTGTGCAGGAGCCTGAGGATGGAATGAGAAGAGATGAACGAGGAGTGGGAGAAAACCAGCTAAAGGCAGCTCAGGCAGTTGTGTATGCATGTAGTGTTTGCTGCAGGTCAGGGACCAGCCTGCCCTGCTCCTGCTTCCAGAGAGGCTGAGCTCAGTTCCTGCCTTCTGCTGCTCACGGCATCCACTCATGCTGCTGTACGTCCTGTCTCTCTTGATGATTTGTGCGTGATTAACGTCATCCTTGGTTCAGAGTCTGGATTTAATTCTAAGCAGATGTTCCTTCATATTTACTGGCTAATCACTTAGAAATGGTAATGTCTAATTAACAATGATTTGAAAATATAGGAATGTTGCCATTCACGAATCACCGGGACTAATCATGGAACACTTTAGCTGCCCATTTGCCTTTTCTGCCCAAGGTAGTGGCTGCCCAGGTCAGCTAACTCCAAAGGTAGGACAGTTCATCACAGAGTTTGACACGTGGTGAGTGCCGGCACGACTAACCCAGCTGAGCCAGGGATGTGTACCAAGGGCACAGCACCCCCAGACTGAAACGATCAAGTTGGCTTTGAGCTCTTTGTCACTGTCCTTTGGGTGTGTTTCTGAGTGACACCAAGCATCTTCACTGTGTTATTAGATACAATAACAGGGCTCTGATGTGTATCTGCTACGCATGAGGGGTCGGAAGGAGCAGAGTGCTAGATGTCAGTAAGTCAGATTCCTCCAACCTCTCAGAATCTGTATTCTGAACCAAACTATGTGAGCTGTGTCTGCTGCTAAATGTACCTTCTCTGGTTAACACGTCTAATGTGACTACATTATGAAGATGGACAGAACCTGGGAAAACCCACAGGCTATCCTCCTATAGACAAAGGGTTCAGCTCCAGCCCTCAGTGTTCCAGTGATACCATGGCTGAAGGATGAGTGTTGGTGTACCTCAGAATATCAGCACCTGGATCCATGCTTAGCGAGTCTGGGCCTTTCGTTTCTGCACCATCTCCACGTGGGAAATCTGTTTTATGAGGGTATACACTAAGGACGCTAAGAGGGCCAAACTAAGCTAATTCCCATTCTCACAGTTCTGTTACCTTCTGCAGTGACACTAGACCTGGATGAAAACGGAGGTGAAGGCCATGATCCCCAAGTGAAGTTTAAGGAAATGCAAGAGTTTAAGGAAATGCAAGGGCACTACATGGAAGCACTCTCAAGTCTGTTAGGGGTAGGTAGCACATACAAAATTCTTTCTGAAGCAGGAAAAGGTCTCCTGAGGAAAATGCTCACTATGCTAAGTTGGTAATAGATAGTGACTCATGTGAGAGCAATTGGGCACCTCACAGCCCTCCACAAAGGCGGCCCTGCAAGTCGTGCACATTGTGTATAGTTCCAGGCTTGAAGCTGATTGACAGACAGAAGCCAGGTTTTCTATCTCAGACAAGGACAAGGACAACTTTACCTTCATAAGAGGCCGGTCTTCCTCCTCCTCCTCCTCACAAGGAACCATCTCCATCAGGACCTTCAGGGAGTCAGGGAGGAAACAGGAAGTGTCAGTACATTGTTCTTGCTCTGGAGCTTCCCTGATGGGAACACAGGGCTCACTGGTGGATGGAGGCCACCAGTCCGCACAGGCACACTCAGTTGCCGCGCACACTCGGTGTCCTGGGTGCATGAAGGAATTTAAAAGAGTGGAATCATTTGCAAATAAAGAAATGGGTACAAACGGGCTGGAGAGATGGCTCAGTGGTTAAGAGCACTGACTGTTCTTCCAGAGGTCCTGAGTTCAATTCCCCAGCAACCACATGGTGGCTCACAACCACCTTGAATGAGATCTGGTGCCGTCTGCTGGCATGCAGGCAGAAGACTGTATACATAATAAAATAAATAAATAAAAAGTGGGTACAAAAATGGAGGGAACTAGCTGAGCGGTGGTGGCGCACGCCTTTAATCCCAGCACTCGGGAGGCAAAGGCAGGCAGATCTCTGTGAGTTTGAGGCCAACCTAGTTCCAGGACAGCCTCCAAAAGGTACAGAGAGACCCTGTCTCACAAACAAACAAACAAAAAAAGGAGGGAGATCTCTGACAGGTAGATAAATCCTGGAGTCAGTTGAGAGTCACCACTGTCCCAGGTCTGTCTCTACATTGCCAGGTTCTTTGGTGACTCTCAGGTGTGCAACTTGGACTTTTACTGATTCACACCAGCGATATGACTCGGGAAGATCCTCAGAAAGAAAATGTACTGCCTGACCCCACAGCCATTCAGCAGCAGCAAAGTGGGATCCGAGCAAACAGCAGTGCTGGGCCACCTGCACCGTCTCATCCTCGTGCCCCACTGTGCCGGAGGAACTCAGTGTTGAGATGAATTGGAGGGTGAGGGGTAGGGTTTAGCACAGTGCACTATAGTGCACAGGCTTGAAGGTAGATTTTTTAAAGCCATGTTCTTTTTCTAGTCAGAAATAACTCATAATCATAAACTTACTTTTTAAAGTGCATTTTTGGTGTTTTCAGTTTTAAGATCATTCTGCTACCTACTTTCAGGTTTTGTTTTTTTTTTTTTTAATCACCCCAGTATGAAATTCTGTTCTCAGAATCATCAGTTTTCTCTCTATCCACCTGGCAACCTCTAGTCTATGCTCTGTTTCTGTGGCTGTTTCAATTGTTCTGGACATCTCATGCAAACAGATCTATAAATCATGCAGTGTGATCCATCGTTTCTAGTAAGATGCCCTGAGGGTTCATCTATGTTGTGGCATCCATCAACACAGCACCTTCGTCATGGCTGTATAGTGGCCATCATGGGAGTGTAACACATTTTTGTTTTCCCACGTATCAGTTGATGACAAACCGCTTCTTTCCACATCTTGGCTATTAAGGATAGTGGCATGGTGAACTCTCATGTCCACGTGAATATTTGGCTTTTACTTCTCCTGGGCATATGATATGTTGGGCCACATGGTAGCTCTTTCTTGTTTTCAGAACCGGCAGGCTGTTTCTTCCTAGATATTTCCAACAGTGCACTGGGGATTCTGTTGCACTACATCACTGTCAACACATCTTTTCCCCTTCTGATATTTTTTTAAAGATTTTATTTATTTATTATGTATACAGTCTTCTGCCTGCATGCCAGCAGAGGGCACCAGATCTCATTCAAGGTGGTTGTGAGCCACCATGTGGTTGCTGGGGAATTGAACTCAGGACCTCTGGAGGAACAGTCAGAGCTCTTAACCGCTGAGCCATCTCTCCAGTCCCCTGATGTTTTTTTGTTTTGTTTTGTTTTGTTTTAACTCTTATTATTCTTTGTCTTGGGGGGGGGTGCCACCTAGCTCCCAAATAAATCACACGCATGGAGGCTTATTCTTACTTATGAATGCCCAGCCTTAGTTTGGCTTGTTTAAACCCAGCTTTACTTAATTTATCCTGTCTACCTTTTGCCTCTGGGCTTTTTCCTTTTCTTACTGCTGTGTATCTTACTTTCAGCTCTTACTCCATGACTGGCTGGGTGGCTGGGTGGCTGGGTGATCAGCCCCTAGCACCCTCCTCTCCTCATTCTCTTTCTCCTTCCCTCTTCTTCCAGGTTTCTCCTTCTATTTATCCTGTCTGTCTTCCAGCCCCACCTATCCTTGCTCCCGCCTCACTATTGTCTGTTCAACTCTTTATTAGACCATCAGGTGTTTTAGACAGGCAAAGAATCACAGCTTCACAGAGTTAACCAAATGCAGCATAAACAAAAGCAACACATCTTTGCATCATTAGAAAAATGTTCCAGAGCATAAACAAATGTAACACACCTTAAAAATAATATTCTACAACAGTCCATAGCTGGGTTGACTTTGTGTGTGACCCTCTGCACATGATAAATGACTCTTGTCAGTTCTCTGCCTCTCTTGACCTCAACTAGTTCAGTATGATGTGAGTTTTATAATGTTTTTGGTTTGTAATGTCTGGTTGATATTTTAATTAAGATTTGAGAGCTCTGGACTCTCCCTATTTTACATGTTCTTGCTGTCATCCCTTGCCAGATTCTCCTTATGCCCATGCCCTGGCTTGATAGCTTATTTATGTATCTTTACTATAATTCAGACTTGATGCCATCAATCAATTGCTCTATCAGCTCTGGCTCTTTCTCCCTGCTTAGATCTGCTGTCCAGGGAAGTCATAGGCTGAACTGTGTCCGCCAGTGTACATGCCTAATGTTCAGTATTAGTCACTGTGCCTTTGTTTGGAAATTTGGTCACATTAATTAAGATGAGCTTTCTCCCACATCTGTGTGGACTCTAATTGAATGACCATCACTGTGATGACAACGGTAAAGTGTGGACATAGAGACACAGAATCAACAGTGACATGTGATGACAGGCAGGAGATGCAAGGTCAGCCAGGGACTTCAGCAGAAGCTTCGAGGAGGCAGACAAAGACAAGTGTCTACAGAGGAGATTGAGCACATTCAGGGTGGTATTTGGCTACAGAAGATGGCTCTGCCCTCTACTGAGTCCAATTTGACACCGTGACATGGGAACCTGTCCTCCAGAGTACAGTGAACAGCTCTCTGATTTGTTCAAACAAGCCTAGGAACCTCCTCTGTTAAGAGTGAAAGTTAAGGTTGATATTTTGCACATTGATTCTGTTATGGCTAATATATCTTATTTTCTATTTTATGAATGTAAGGAATGGAGAAGGTCCCTATGGAGTGCAGTCCCGAGTGAATGTGTGTCTTGACAGGAGCTGGCCATGTCAAAGACCCCAGATTCTCAGACCCATGGAGGAAGACATTAATACCTTTCCCCTGGGTGAGTGAGATTCAGAGGCATACCAAAGCCTTCCTTGTGGGACCAAGTCCAAGTGTTGACAGTGTGTGCAGAATCTGTCCACCACAGCTTTCACTACTCTGGATATTTATGGTTCAGAGACTGCCACCCTACAGAGACTGTGCCTATTGAGATTAGCTATGCCTATCTCCTTGTTCAGTTGTTCAGTTTCCTTGTTTATGTGTATGTAATAACCCTGCCTCTTTGACAGCTGTGTGCCATAACTCCTCCACCCTGTTCTGCTCTATATTGTAAACATGCTAAGCTTCTGGGATGCTGCGTTTTATCCAGATTACAGCCCAGACCACCCAATTCCCCTGTATCTGCGTGTATCTGTCTGTGTTGATCTTTTCTTCATTCCCTCGCTGCCATAGTCAGGTCTGTCCTTTAACTGCATGGATATGGTGCAAGAACATACTTTCTATGCATTTAGATTTTAGGGATAGTTAAAATTAATTACTTGACTGTGTGATACAGCTTCTGTCTAGTAAGTCTTATGTCCATACTTCTTAAGGGATGGTATCTATTGTGCGTGTGTGTGTGTGTGTGTGTGTGTGTGTGTGTGTGTGTGTGTATGTGTGTGCCTGCATATGTGTGCATGTGTTGAAAGGCTCCAAGAGCATCTGTGCCATTTGTAATTCTCTAGGGATAGGACTCAAACAAATTGATGATTTGCTAGAGTAGAGGAATATTAAGCAAAATACAGAGGGGGTGGTGCATGGGTAGAGTCTAGAGGACTAGCACCAATCTCCAAATACCTTGTCCAAACCAGTCACCCTGGAATTTGTGACATTGCGCATAAAAATATATTACAGAGAAGTGCCTTGGAGGCTCAGTCATCAGGGTATCAGAAGAGGACAGTGGGCTTGAGGGACAAATAATTTGGTCCCTCAAGACATGCTTAAATTCCAGTGTGCCAGGAAAAAAAGTCAGGTGACCCCTGAGAATGACCAGTGAGGTCTGGTATGTTTAATGCTCAACTGGCCCGGAACTCGGGACATTCTAACCAACTGCCTGTGTGACAGTTGCATAAATAGTTAGATCTGCCTGAGCTGGCCAAACCTGGAGGAGAGTGACGATGAAGGGGCTGGGAGGAGCTGCTGGGTTGAGGCTGGATGGTTCAGGGAAGTCTATGGCTCCCAGGGTCATGCTGACGAGATCTGACCAACCCACTGAGGCAGCCTGGACACAAGTGAGGCTGAGAACTGGCTGAGGCTGCCACACTGAGCTGCACCTTCCTGCCTACATCCTCGCTCACTGGGACATGGCCGTTACTGTGCCAAAGGCACTCACTACTGTGGCATTGCTGAGAGGAGCCCAGCAAACCCTGCGCTGGAGTAGATAGCAGGAAGCCCTTGGTGGCTGCCTCCTGGCCTGTCCCAGATTCTCATGACAAGGATCTCTTGCAGGCACTGCAGTAGCTTTCTGGGTTACCACGTTTGAATGTCTTAGCATCTTTGTCCCATGTGCCCTTCTGCAGCAAGCTTAGAAAGCATATTCAAAAGAGGGACCCTAGTGCCCAGGAAGCATCACCATGCTCCCCAGTGCCCAGTGTTCTTTTCTTCTGTTGTCCCCCGGCTGCCTCAGGTGCCAGCTGAATGAAACACAGCTGGATTGGGAGGAGGGTCTTACAGTGTGGTGCAAACTTAAATTGTTCAAGAGTCAGACTCCAGGATGGCTTTAGAGAGAAAAGGCAGTATAGTGGCCCAAAGTCTAGGCAGGTGCCTGCTGACCTGTGTTCAGGTCTCAATCAGAAGCCACAGGGAAAGGGACTTCACGTTCTCTTCTCGGATGGTTCCCTGCTTATTTGCTGGAATGTCCCTTTGGTTATCTACTATTCTCAGGGTATAAAGCTTAATATATTGAGGGGAAAGGTGGGGACAGAGGGGGTGTTGTTCTTTGCCGCAGTTTCGGGTGATGAAACATGAACTGCCAAACTCAACAAACCTACATGGAGTTTATTGGGAAAGGGAGCAAATGGAGGGGTAAGCATTAACTGATCCGGAGCAGAAATGGAAAGAGAAAGAACAGGCAGGAGGCTCTTGCTTGTATAGGGAATAGGAACGGTTTAGAAAGAGGCTTAGCAGTTGGGGTCCTTGAAAGGGGAGTCATGGAGCTGCTGTTAGCCCAGCTCCGAGTGGCCTCAGCTCAGCATGGTTTCTGCATGCAGAGTCCTTATGCAGCCACTTAATGAATGCATGAATGCACCATGTAGCCATGAAACTTTTGACAGCCTTTGAGCTGTCAGCAAGGAGCGATCACCTGTCAAAGACAGATCCGGGGTCGACAAAAGGTTGCTCTGAGAAGAGAGAAGGGGGGCTGGGAAAGAACCTGAGGATTAGAGAGGACACACAACCAGGAAAGGTTCCCTAAGGAGAAAGCCCAGGCCCAGGAGAGGCTGGTGCAGAGTGACAGGAGGGTGCTGAGAAGAAACCACCAGGGCCTGAGAAGGAGAGGAGTTGGGAGCAAGAACAGGGCCAGGTTGCCCAGGACCCAGGGAGAGGGAGAAGCCAGGTTATCAACAGGGGAAACTGTGGTTGGTTTGTAAAGTGAATAAAAACTCCCCATGGGGGTGGATATCTATATACAGAAAAAAGCTTAATATATTGAATGCACATGAAGCCTGAGGAAAAAGGACTGGTGCCTCCTGGCTATGCCTAAGCAACCAACACTACCAGTCTGGAGGAAGCCTTTTGTTGGTTAGAGGTTGTTGCCTCTAGCCAAAAAACTCGGTGGCCGTTTGTCAGATTCAGCGTGGTATTATGAGCATGGTATTGTGAAGTTCCCCAGGAGGAGCTGTTATCATTCCTGTGGCCCCATCAGCCCTGTGGGGTGAGTGGAACGTTACTTACAGTCCATGAGGTGACTTGCCCAGAGTCACACAGGTCTCATGGACCAGATAGAAGAAATGTACTTGGCTCCCCGGGGACAGAGCATCAACCAGAGTCCATGATGATGCTGTGGACTCCCTCCCAAGGGCTTCCCTCACTCCTTTTCCCAGATTTTCTCACCCCACAGAGGCTGTGGAGAGAGTAGGCACCCCGAAGGAGTGCTTGGCCAAGAGAATGGCGTGTAGCTGACCCAGACTCCCCACTTTGCACTGCAGGTTAGGACATGTTCCCAAACGGAAGCCACTGGAAGGAGTGGAGGGTCTACTTTAGGTCCCACTTCCTAACAATTTCCCTCATCGGCAGCAAGGGTGAGCCTCTGGAGGGCCTTTGGTCTCCTTGGCTGCTGTGTGGCTCAAGACGCAAACCTTCTGAAGTAGTCCATGGCCCCACCACAGCGAGTCTGCTTTGACTCAGCTGAAGTGCCCCAGATAAATTATTAGTTCTGATGAGTCAGGACTAAGTGTGGTACCAAGGCTAGGGAAGGAAGCTGCCATGTACCTATGGGCATCTTTATTGATCTCATACATGGTCTAGCATGAGGGAGGCCTGGCTGAAACCAAACAAATGTCTGCACTCATGTTTGTTCCTGCCACCTCCTGCTCACCAAAACCCACAATATCTCTCATCCTGTCGAAACCACACAGGAATAGGGAAAAGAGTCAATAGCTACTTCCTGTGACTGGTGTTCATGCCAAGAATTACCCAGGCCTTGCTATCACCAAATGTTCCTCTGTCCCTACATTAACTTAGTGGCAGGGTCCCTCTAGCGCAGTCCTATCGGCACCCCAAAGCAGGGGCTCTGTCCTCACCCACCCCATGGGCGCCCCACTCTGTAATCCCAGCCTCTCCTTTCTGAACACATCCGAGTCTAAACTGCTCTTAGTGATGTCAGGTTTTGACAGGTGTCTCCCCGAGAGAGGGACTTTAGGGCTGTAATTCAGCTTTCCTGCGGTGTTGGTTGCTGAGGCGGTGCCAAGAGCGTCCTGTCCTAGCAAAAAACCGGGCTGGCTTCCTTCCAGGTCTACACTCAGAAGGAATGTTATGAGGTTGGCACAGTTTCTACCTGGGTGTTTGATAGAACCCAGGGGAGGCTCCCCGGGGCCTGAGGTTTGCCTCCTAGAAATTTACACTCAATATAAAAGACATGTGTGCAGTGTTCCATATAGAAGAGTTGAACACAATGTTAACTTCCTAAATTGTCCAGTCAATCTAACCAGTGCAAACCCCACTTTACAGAGAGGAGGGGACATGCAGCCAGGTGGCTGTGAGTGCTGGGGGGGGGAGGGGCAGGTCATTGACCTCCCAGGCATCGTTTTCTCTTTATAGGAGTTTGCAGCAGCACAGGAAGGGGTGCGAGGTCTGTCCCAGGGAAAATGCAGTGACAGGGGAGGAGGAGGCTGGCTGGGAGGCTGTGTCATTCCAGAATGCTCCTCAGATATCCTGCTACTCTCATCCGGCAGCTACCAAATTCTGTCTTGTGACATTAGCTAAGGATGTTTGTGTGTGGGAAGAATGTGATGGTCCTCCAACAGCGAGATTGCCTGGGCTCTCACCGGGCAGGCTTCAGGGGCAGCTCTGACAGTGAGCTGAAGCAGAGGAGAGGGCATCTCCTGGACCCTGGGTGGGGAAGCTGAATCTCAAGTACATGTGGACCCAGAGACCCAGAGGCCTGATAACTGGGTGGAGCCATGCAGGGCCCCTCCATGCCTACCCTGTACAGGGGCCACCCTGAAGCCCCTGTTTACATATGGGCTAGCCCTCTGTGTTTCTGGAAGGAAGTACTTCATTTGTGATAGCCCCACCCAGCTCACTTGTGCCTTTAACTAGAAACAAGTCCCTATGCCAGAGGAGGATTTCTCAGGACATGCATTCACTTCATGAATTTTCCT